TGTATTTCTTTATTTGTTTATTTTAAGTTTATATTTTTACAGTATAAAAATGAACAAACTTTTAAAACAAAAAAAAAAGAAAAAAAGAAAAAGAAAATAAGAAAGTCAAATTCATGTTATTTATTAATATTTATTTCCAAATATACAAATTTTATTATCATACTTTTAAAACTCATATTTTAAAAAACTATAGGTGATACTAAATATAGTTATATATTAAAATTTACAATTAAAAATAATAAGAATTAATAAACCAATTTAACTTTGAGGATGCTTTTAGTAGTTATAATATATTATTGATAAAGTAATACCAAAGTAATTATGATTTTTTTCATGAATATAATGATTATATATTTTTAATTATAAATATTATAATATTTATTTATTTTGATTACAATTTTTATTAATAGTAATATAGTAATTCATGTGTTACCATTTTCATACGTAAATTTTCATTATGAAAATTAATTTCTAGCGAAGTAAATCTATTTGTGAATCATCAAGGAGAGGAAAATTGAGGTTGACCGTCGAAAAAAAAGTAAACATGGATTTACGGTGTATGGGGAAAATATTATAGGGGATATCTGATATCTGTTTTTTACCAGGTGAATTCAAATATACCTAACATTAATCTCCTCCAATGTTCCAAATTAAAGTTAAAATTAATACTGAATCCTTTAGCTCTCATCCAAGTTCCAATGGATCATCAACTCTACTATTTTTTTGTTTGAGGAACTCTAAAGTTTGAAAATTGAAGTTAAAATTGTATTTGAAATAAGACATTTCTACTAGGCACCTATGAAGGCCTATTCACATTCAAAGCATGGACCTAATCACACATAAATAAAGTATGAAATAAAAATGACATCTTCTACAAAATAAAATGCCAAGAGCATGTTATTTTTTTAGTATTTATTTCAAAATATAAAAATTTTATGACAATACTTTTAAAAAACTCAAATTCTTTAAAACTAAGGTAATATTAATCACATAAATAAAGTATGTAATAGAAAGAACATCTTCTACAAAATAAAATGCCAAATGTATGTTATTTTTTAACATTTATTTTAAAATATACAAATTTTATGACCATACTTTGAAAAACTCAAATTCTTTAAAACTATATATAATATTAAATATAGTTATATATTCAAATTTGCAATTAAAAATAATAATTAGTAAACCAATTTAACATGATAACATATTACTAATAAAGTAATAAAAAAGTAAATATGATTTTTCATGAATATCATAATTATATATTTCTAATTATAAATATTGTAATATGTGTTTATTTTTATTACACTTTTAATAATATTAATATAGTAATTAATATATTATGACAATAGTAAGTATAGTTTCATTAATTATAATTATGAAAATTATATAGATTTATTAAAATTAGAATTAAATATTATTAATATATTAAGATAATAAAAATAAAATTATATGAATTTATTCTGATTAGTTTAAAGTTAAGATAATAATTAAAATGGTTATCGTTAAATGTTTTTATAGTAATACTAGAATCAACATTAATAATGCGATCGTAATATTATAAGGAATATTAAAACAATTATGTAAATATAATTCGAATCATTGATAAATATTACGAATTGTTTTACAAGCAATGCATTTTCCAATTGGAAAATCATGCAATTATTTAGGTGATATCAATATACTATTCCATCGCATATTTACAAAATTATCACATAAATGCTTGAAACATATCTACATATTATTGATTTCATATTTACGTAATTATTTATGTGATCGCTTATTCTATTTCTATGTACAACACACGTGATCCCACTTGTCTTCTATATTTTAAGCGAGAAGAGGATTTGCCATGTTTTTATGTAATTATTTATGTGATTGCTTATTTCATTTCTACTAGCAACGCACTAGTCTTCTATATTTTAAGCGAGAAGAGGACCTGTTCCATATTTATGGCACATGTCAACTGCATCACTCTTTACAATTGGTAGTTATAGATATCTTCTAATTATTTTGACATGCGTCCTCTCGTAAATTTGAAAATTTGAAAAGGTGCAACTCTTTAAAACTCCCTCATTTTTATCCATGGTTAGCAAGTCGGGGAATAATAAAATATCAATTAACCAAAACATTGGTAACAAATCGATTTTATTTAAAAAGGTTGGAGGAAAAAATTGGGTAAAAAATTACGAATCACCAAAAAATAAGGTAAGCTTTAGAATCATGAATGTTTCGGATTTGATTAAAAAAAAACATAGTGAAAAAGTCGGATATGTATAGATGACATAATATGGGATTATAATTTACAGCTATTGTATAAAGGGAAAAGTTTATATAGAGCCGAGGCTCTTGGTAAACTAAAGTATCTGTCCCCTGTATTGTATTAAATTTTTATTCTTTATTTTGCCCCTAAAATATCTCATTTATCATTTTTTCTTACTTTATCGAGAGTAAGGGCATCAAATGAGAAGTCGAGTAAGTTGAAGGAGAACATAGGCGCATGGGTGAGCACCCGTCAGCTTTCGCACATAGCATGCATCTCAATTCCGAGGGGGTTCGTGACTGACTCGGTCTCCAAGTCATTGCGAATCGGACCGACCCGCAACTATGCCCGAAACCAAATCCGCGGGACTAATAACGGGCCATGGCCCATGAGGTCAGCATGATCTTTATAGGGTCTCGATCCCACCAGAACTTTCTCTACAGGGCAAAAAAAACCCCAGATAACTTCCAGTATCGACTCTCACTCTAGATGACTCTCACTCTAGATGACTCTCTCTCTCTCTCTCTCTCTCTCAGAAACTGAAAAATCCATATATTTATATTTACTAATCAGTCGTCTGCAACAGGTTTTAAGTTATATGGATCTCTCCTAGAAACGAACGTTTTAGGGCAAGGTTGTTTTGAGATATTAGAGTTTCGCCTTAGATTTTTCAAAACCCTGGAAAGTGAATATGTTTGGTGTTCTCTTCCCTAATCGGAGTTACCCCATGGACATATCCAGCTTTGCGCAGATTGACACTTTTCACTGGATTCTTGACATGAACACCTTTGTAGGTATGAGACTCTCTCTATTTTAATTTTCCCATTTTGATGTGTTTTTTATTGGTTATGTTTTCATTTTTGTTTTGCTGCTTCTGCATGTCTCTCATTTAGTTTTAATTTTCTGTTAGATAAGTCGTTCTTTTGTTTGCTTCATATGTTAATTCTTCTTAAAATTTATGAGTTTCATTAAATCTCAGTTCGTCATTTTCACCCAGATTGAGTTAACTCAACTTTTTTAGGGATGAAAAATACAATTTATACGATGTAATCACTATATGTCTCCATGTTTATTGAGATGGAAAATTTTGATTTTTAACATATGAAAAAGTGGGATATTTATGACAGTAACCAATGTATATGTCTTTTTCTTTTGTTTGAGTTTTATTATTTCCCTGATCTTGAATCATGAAAAGAAATAGCTCTAGTTTTACTAGCTCTATTTCATTTCCCACTTTTTTTTTTGGGAGATGAAAATGGAGTCCTTATTTTTTGAAGTGAAATGGACAATGCTATAATTGAGTTACATTCTGGAAGGTTAATGCTATGTTTCGCTACTGTGCCTTTACTACATTAGTACCTTCTGTTCCCAATGAACAATGGCGGATTGTGAAAATGAACCATTGCTCCACCATTGTAAGCTCAAAAGACTAGTATAGGCAGCATGTAGTGCCATTCCTTTTGGGCCTTTTCCGATTGGGATTGGATACCGCGGTAGATACATCACACCAACAATATGCTACATGTTATCTCCACTGTGCATTCTATAATGGACGGTGGAGATGAGCCCTGCTGCTTGAGCAGAGAATAATATGGTTCCGAGTAACAAAAGGCTAATATCTATAGTTCATTTGAGCATGGACAGTCAAGGTGACATGTGGCGTACTGCCAATATGCTGCATATATGAGTAGTATTCTATCCCTTTCTTATATATGCTTAAAGGTGTATTGTTTGGTAAGCTTAGATCATAGGAGGATAATATTTTGAACGCAAGAATCAAGTTTGGATACTTATAAAACCCTTGCATGTTTTTTTCATTCCTAGAGAAGTTAGGTGTTGTATTTCACACTCCCTAGAAGACCGTAAATATTTTCTTCTTGTAAAAAGCAAGCTGGTGTTTTTAAGAGTTGAAATTTTGGATTCCTGCTGTTGAAATTATTTTAAAATTTGAAAAAAAATGATTTTATTTTATTTTTTAACTTAAAAGTTTCACAAAAGAAAGTGTTTATATTGAAACAGTGAGAGGAATTTGTAGTTTCTTTTCTGAAATTTTGGATTCGATAGTGACCAAAATCACCTTTTGAGAAAGCAAACTTTGAAATTTGAAAATTGGTTCCAGTAAACTTAATATGAAATTGAATATCAGAATCTCGGAAAATTATTGCTCAAACTTGGAAGGATTTTACAGAAATGGGAAGCGACACTTACTTCTTCACCAAAAATTCTGGGTTAAGTACACTGAAAATTGTTATTGGTTAAACCCAAAACAAGAATTGAACCCATCTTTGCATGGTGGTTTGCAGGTGAAGCCTATGATCAGATTAGAGAAATGTGCATCTTCCTTCTTAATGGACTCTCTCTCCCACCAGACAAGGCTCTCGCAGTCTATATTCAATCCCCTGGTTCTGCCTTTGAGTATTGTGGGGCCATCTATACAGGCTGCCCCTCAGCTGTCCTCGCCCTCCAATGGCCTGAACCTGGTGGCCAAATGCAACTGTCTTCTGCTGATTCTCCCCCTCTCTCTGCTAAAATTGGGGTCTCTGTCGAGGATTTGGCAAGCCTTCCTGCCTTGAACGTTGGTCATCAAAGGCGCATTGAACAATTAGCGATGAAAGTGGGTGAGAACCTCTTTAATTTTATGCAATCATTTTGTAGCGTGGATGGGAATCGTCTGGTTGTGCCTATGGATATTCTGGATCGCTGGTTTAAGAAGTTTCAGGAGAAGGCTAAGCGGGACCCTGAGTACCTGAAGAGCTTCATGTTGTGAAAAGTGTCTCACCCCAATCACTTTCTTGAGAGACCCTACCTACTGGATTTGATGTGGGTTTATTTATGTGAGTTTTAGGTTTTAAACCTTTCATTTATTGGAATGGGTGGTTTGGAATTTTGGTTAGGGAAGGGCCAAACCATCCATGAAGAGGGGGGTGAGGTTTACTGAGAATTTGGTGGGATTGTATAACTCTTATTTTTGCTAATGGATTTTGATGGCTTTGCTTTGTGTAGTAAGTGGAGTTGCAGGGGAAGATTGTATCTGTCTCAAGAGGGATCAATTGGTACGAATCCTTTCTTGTATCATGGAAAGAAATTATTTTGGTGGGTGCAAATGAGTTTGTCTTTGAATGCTTTGTTCTTTTCTTTCGTTGTGAATGTGGTTGTTGTTGTTGATCATCCTTTTATAACATGTTTCCGCATCAGCAAGAAACAAAATGAGGAAAATCATGGTGTAACCTTTAAAATCCTGATATTTGTTTGCACCAAGTAACATTTGCTTATTGTAATTCTTTATAGTTCACCTACAATGAAATGGATTTATTTGGGTAATGGAGAACTTCACCATCACACCTATTTATCATTGTGAGGGTTGTGATGATGATATCTGCATCATTTTGTTTCAGAGAGTTGGATGTGCGTGCATGTTGACGAACCTGAAGAAGACAGTAAACTCCATAAAAGATATTTGTAGGCTCAAAGTTACGAGGCGATACATTTGATTAATATAATTGAATTGAGCAAGTAATCCTCACATAGCCTCGAAGGACATTCCAAACTTTGCTTTTTTTATTTTTTTTTGGGGGTAACGGGTGAATACGTAAACCTGAAGGAAACCTTTTTAATACTTAGAATTTGCCCAACATGACCTCTGTATACCTTTGAAGTTAGCTCCCTTTAGTCTTAACATTAATGCTTCATAGCATTCCTACTGCCTTTGCATAAAAAGAGTTGGCTCGCCTAGATTTTCTTCTATTATTCAATTAAAAGCTAGCTTTATAAACGATGCCTCTGGGGGTTGCCACTTTTTTCTTGTGGTCTACCTCTTGGCATGCACCCTCTAATTTGTTTTAGTGTGTCCCTTGCTAGGACCCTCCCTGTTTGCTGACCCTTTTTATCAGCGGATGCCTCTTTTTGTTTTTTAATTTTATGTTCATGATCATGCTCTCGCTCTGCAACTGAAATGTTGAAGAGATTCTTTGTGGTGGCAATTCTAAAATTCATATTGTTGCATGGGATCTATGCGTTGGCAATGTCTGAATTTCGTACACACATGCTTTAGGGCCTCACATTTTTTTTTTTGTTTTTCTCCTTCGGTACACTCCTACGAGGGTTATTCATCATGTTCACATATTTGCATGTGAGGAACTTGAGTGCGGCTTTACTATTGGTGATATATCCATAATAATGCCACATTTTACATGAAAAGTAATAGTTTTGCATTGAAGGATTAACCTGAAGCTGTTGGTTCCAACTGTTTTCCTACTTGTATTTATTTCTGATAGCGATTTCAACTTAATTTTCCTCCTGACTACTCTGGCCTAGTTGTTTGGTCATTTATTCGATACATAACACCCACCACCCACACCCCAAAGAACGAAAAAAGAAAAAGTAATAAAAATAAAAAATAAAAGAAAGGAAAGAAAAGAGGGAAGCTGGGTTTTTGAAGTGTGGAAAAACCTTGTGATGGTGTTTTTTGATGGGGGTATGTGACTGGTAAAATTAGGCACTTGCTACTAGGAAGGCCATGTAATGAAGTTCAAACCATAATTGCAGATACATGATACTTATGGACACTTGTTTTGGAAAATGATGCTAGAGAAAAAAATTACAATGCATTTTGTATTCCACCATTCCCCTTTAGCATGAACCAGGTTACTGTAGAATCTCACCATCTTGGGTAAGCACATGTGGTGGCAAGGCTTCTTGCGTAAATCACATTAAGGGGCTTGATGGATTGAATTTCATATTTTTGAATTTGAAGTAGGGGTGTGATTGAAATTGCATTATTTGTTAAGTTGGACGTGTTGGAATTTTTGTAGTTGTTATTTACTCTTGGGTACTTTGTTGTTTACTTTGGGCTCATGTTTCTAATGTGGTGCCAAAAGTCAAATGAGTTATGATTCTCAAGGTCAAGGTTGATGGGTCGCGACGCATGGGAACTTGGACGCATTGGAGATTTGCATGCGTGAGGATTTGCATACATGGGAAATTGGTATGCTAGGATACTTCGAGAATTTTCCTCATCTCGATGGAGCTGTATGTGCATAATTTGCACAAAGTTTGGAGGAAGAAATTGCTCCCGCAACATCTTCTCATCTTTGCCCTTCCATAAATTCAGCTCTTGAGTTTGATCGCACTAAACGGATGCAAGTCCCTGAAGCTTGATCAGAACTACCTTTATTTTCTTTGAATCTGAGGACTCCTTCCATTCAAAGGAGTGGGTAGGTCCATTTTATATTTGGGTTTTCATGTTGGCATCGTTGTGCTTACTTCAACTAGATTGCCCGCTAAGGTCATCATCGGTTTCATGCCTATGTTGATGCAACCGTGCATCAATCTTGACACTACAAACAGATCATGAAACCAATCCATTTGTCGTCGACTAGGCTTTGGCTCATGTTGCTTACCAAGAAATCCAAATGAATTGGTCCCATCAACCAAGCCTTGGATCATGCATCGGCTTAGATGCTGATTGCATTAAGTCATTCATGGTTTCCACCCACCTATTCAAGTCATGAATGCCAAACCTTTGGCCATGACTTCTACCTCATCCAGCCATCACGATCGTTGACTCTCACAACATAGGCTCTTATGCCAAATGATGCAAATCCAACACTCAGAAATGAGATCAAAGACAGATTTCTGAGATCAAAGACAGATTTCATAAACGAAAGCTTCAAAAGATTGGTGGTCATGCTAGGCAACGATTGAGGAGGAAACTCCCTCAACCGGTGTCTAGGAAGGAAAGGAACCAAGGGACTTTTAACCCTCTACATCTCTCCGCTACAACCAGCAGGGGCCTCCCAGCTCACCAGTTGGACAATCTCTTTCTCTATTTACACTATTTCATTTCATTCATCCAACAGAAAAACCCTCTTAGTGTAGCGGTTCATTCCTATGCTGATATGTGATCTAGATTAGCGTGGGCAAGGTCCCAATGGCCAAAGGGCTCGGTTGATGGAACCAGCTCGTGTGAGTTTCTTTAATGAGCAATATAAGTTGAACCTTGAGTTGACAACGAACTATGGTAATGGCAGCCCAATGGGTTCTTGTCTTCTTCAACCCAGGGAGGGCCGATGCAAATCAATCACATCTTGGAAAGAGGGGTCTGAATACCAATATTATGGAAGTATGGTGAGAAAAGGGGTGCTACAACACTTTGGACTATTTTGGGATTTCTACAAACACTTGTGGTTTTAAAAGTTGAGGTCAAATCTATGGTTGGAATGGAACAGTGCATCTCTTTAAATGTGAAAAGATTTCTCATTCCAAGACAGCTTGTGTTTGTCCCTTGTTTAGTTGATTTTTCCTTCGTGGTGAATATGCCGAGGTCATCGAAAGTTAAAAGGAAATTTAACCAGAGGCTCCCCTAATATACTTTGCCATTTCTCAATTTGTTTTTGGTGGTTCATATTTTCATGATGATATGTCAATAATCTCATATATTAATCTTTTTCGCCTGTGCTTTCATAGTGACCTGACCGTACCTATTTCACTGATGGTGTTGCTGTTTAGGGTGTTCATATTTGAAGCTTGTTGTTGAATCCCTTTTCTTACGTTGTATACTTGTTTAAAATACCGCTCTGTTTGTTGCTTCTCTGTTTTTAGATAATATTGTTTCAATTGGTAAACTTGTTGAATTAGTAATGTATTTTGGGCAAAGTGTAGAATAGACCTGTATTGTGGCATAAAATGTACAAAGGCACATCCATCATCTATGGTTCACCTTTTTTCATAGCTAATTAATGGTGGAGGTGCACTGTTTGTCTGCTTGATAGTTCATCATTGTGTATCGGTGGAGCAAAGGTGCATGTTTGCCATCCCTTGGGGGGGGGGGTACTGTAGATGGCCCTTTGTATATGGTATATCAATACAGGTTATGTACATTAATATACTTGTACTAGAATGTTTGTCGTCAATGCCAGGTGCGTTGTGCAGATGCATTGTGTGGATTGAACGACTCAGGAGACATCCGAGTTGCTTCGCTCTTTGTCCTAGAAAAACTGTATACTTGATTTCACTTTTTCTTACCTACCTTGGATTTCATACTGAATATATAAGGCATGTTATGGAAGGAGGGAATTCTCTCTTAATGTATTATTAATTATTATTATTTTTTCCATTTTTTGGGTTACTGATGTGAGTTGGAAAAATACATTTTTCGCTCTCTTACTTTAATAAGTCTTGTTGCCCTGTTTTGTGCACGTTGGGTTTAGGAATGAAATTGGATGAGGTTTTATAAGGCTGTGGTTCAACGAAGTTTGGTAAGGCTGCATTTTAAAATCCTGCTGAAAATTCAGAACTAATGTTGAAAAGTCTTATGTCCTTTAAATCCACTTCCGCCTTATTGTGGAAGAGTTTGATGGTAAAAAAATGGTGGATTTAGTAGATCTGTGTATGCTTGAAATGGATGGTCTACAAAATGTTTTGCAAGGAGGACCATTTTTCTGGTTCGAAAATATTTTTATTTTTTCCCATTTACACCCCCAGTAGGAAACAATGCACACCCTCAATGTGCAACTATACATCAGCTATGTTCCATCATGGTGCTAAAAAAGTTTTGAAATCCCACAATTGGCTATCCACTGTCAAATTGCATAGTAAATGCTTCTTAATCATTAAAAGTCAGCATACTCCTGCAGGAGCAAGTAATGTACTTGCTGCCTTAAGCAAATCGCTTATTAAGGAGGCTTTCATCTCAATCCAACATAAAAGTGTGCATGTGTACTGCTGGAATACGTATAATTCGTTCGTTCTCGGGTAAAGACCCGGAAGATTTTTCTGGGTCAGGTGTTTTCGGTCCTCTTTGGAGTCAACATATGAAGATGAAAATCACAGTTTTAATTCTTAAAATACTTGTATTTGATGGTTAAAACACTAAACGATCGATCTTAAGAAATTACTGCACAGAGTACAGTTTTCTTTTATGAGGCTGGTCGCTGGATTGAAGAGTTTACATTCCCATAATTTAGTAATACTGAAAACACTAATAAATAGGGTTTACCCGAGGAATTAAATATATATCCCTATGCCCCCATGGGAGCTGTATTCGACCAAAGAGATGTTACAGGTATGGTGAACAAAATTGGAGGTAGAAATTTGCAATGGTGCCTTGCATCTTGAAGAGGGGGAAAGTAGATATTAAGGATGTTGTGGGGAAAATTTTTCATATAAATGAATCTCTTTAGTTTCATGTGCATGGTGGGTGGTATAGCATATCGGGTGTCCGAATATCTTAAGGTGGATTTTTTCTGCTTTTGGTCTAGTTTTTATTTATCTCATGAATGCTTCCGGAAAAATTTGCATTTGAGTTCTTTAACACTTAGATCTTATCATCCATGTTATGGACGTCGCAAAAGTGTTTCTCTAACGGCAACAATGGAGCATTCTTACTTGAGGGTGATATTCCATATCGAGTATAGAAAAAGTTAATTTAGATCTAACTCTATCGCTTATATTTATCTAATGAAGGTGGATGATAAGCTTAGCCGGAGCCCAATTCCCAATTTCTTGTTTAAGAGTTGACTCACATCCATGGATGATCATGTCCCTATATTTGTGTGAACTATAGTATGACCTGAATTCTAAAAGATGATAGTATAATCTTGTGATGTGGATGCTAGGTTGCCATGTAATGCAAATTAGGGAATTACAAACACTATGTTTGTGTTACAGAAGGAGAATGCTCTGCGGTACTATGTTTTAGGGGGAAAAAGAGATATTCACGTGCAAATTCTAATTTTTACTAGTGTAATGAACCAAAGAAAAAGAGATATTCACGTGCAAATTCTAATTTTTACCAGTGTAATGAACCAAAAAAAAAGAGATATTCACGTGCAAATTCTAAGTTTTACTAGTGTAATGAACTAAAAATTGAAACAAGAGAGATTTATTATTAGAAAATAATCCTATTTTGATTAGATGGATAATGTTGGATTTGGTGTTATCCAAAATCACTGCATCAGAAAATCCCAGATTGAGATATTCTCATATTATGTGTGATTCAGATTAATATTGATAAGTTTATTAAAAGAAATAAAAATCCATAAAGATGAAGACTCTTTGGATTTATCTAGTTTTGAGATATGTATAACATCAATAGGCAATTTCCTATATAGTATGAACTTTTAATCTACTATATATGGGATGAAAGTACAAAGAATTTGTGTGCCCTATTTTAGTCACCATATGAGAAATGTGGTTTCTCTATGTATATATATATGGTTACCATATAGGAAAGGTGGTTTTTCTCTTTATGTATATGTGATGAAAGTGTAAAGAATTTATGTTTCATATTTTGGTCACCGTATGGGAAAGGTGGTTTCCTCTAGAGAGGGAGGCAATGCCTCTTGTGCATGAGATGCAATGTATTCTTTTAGAAAGAATAAAGTTTCCTAATGTATTCTCTTAAAAAGAAGAAAGTTTATGGTGCCTCTTGCAGATTCTTCAAGATTGAGAGGCCCGCTTCTCCTTCTTATAGAGAAGCGGGTTCTCATGAAGATTTTGGGTGTTTTCATCTTTTAGTTAAAGTTTATAGAAAAACAGGTTCTCATGAAGATTTTGGATAGTTTTCTCTTTTAGTGAGAAAAAAGCTTCATATGTTGAGAAATTTGGCAATAGTGCATCTTGTAGACTCGTCAAGATTGAGAGGCTGGTTTTTTGTAGAGAAGCAGGTTCTATGAAGATTTGGGTGGTTTTCTTTTTTAGTTAAAGAGAAAGTCAGTTTTTTATTGCTCTCGCGTTTTTATTTAATATTGTTAGTAATAGTTACCTAAAATAAAAAAAAGTGATTTAAAAGGGTTTGTTCGAGTGTGTTTTTGTAGAGAGCTTCCGCCCACAACAATTAACACCTTCCAAATGAAGCTCAAGTTAGAATCCTCAAAAATGCATATTAAAATCCATCTAGAGAGCAAAAACAGAAAGGACAGCCTGCCAAAAAAAAAAAAGACAAAAAAAAGAAAGAACAAAAAAAGAAATGCAAATAATAGAGAGCATGCTTGTACAGCCTGCCACAATACAATCCACACATTAATTTAATTTTTACTTAATTTTGGAGGGAAGATAAGAACATACTTTGCAATTTTCTCCACATTTATTTAGTTTTACTTAATTTGGGGGGGGATAAGATCAAATTTTCACCATAATGATCCTTATTATTATTCAATAACGCAGAACATAGAGGCCCAGTGGAAAAGTTTTGAATCCTTTAAATACCAACATCCGTGCCCTCTCCTCACCAGCAAGGAAAGGACAGGCTCACAAAGAATCCAAGAGAGAGAGAGGGAGAGAGAAAGAGAGGGAGTATTGAATATGAGCTCAAACAAAGTATGCGTTCTTCTTCTAATGGCTGTGCTCGGTTTCACGGCCGCAGCAGGCATCCACAAAGAAAATGGGAATGCAGAGGTGGCGGTGCCCGCAGCTGAGGGTGCCGTCATCTTCTCAGAGTCGACCGCCAAGTGCAGGGCAATCATCGACAAGTCGCTAGATGACATTGTGGCTTCCATGGTGAAAGTGCCCTTTCCGAACAGAGACTTTTGCAGGGCGTTCGTAAAGATAGACCCATCTTGCTACCCCTACATGCTCACTGCTTTCTACTTCAGCGTTGACGATTGCCACAGGTTCAAGGCCTATTGTGAAAGTGGTGCAATGAAGCCAGGGCTTCAGCCCTCTGCTCCTTGAGTGGGCTTAGTCACTTTTGTAGGAGGTCAATCTTGGCCTTGTCTCTTATATTGTGTTCCTTTTGTTTTGTTTTGTTTTGGTTTTTGTGTCTTGTTCTTTTGGGTGGTTGTTTAGTTGTGGTTTTAAGTAGCAATTGAGTGCGCACTTTTCTTGTGCAAATTGTGGCCTCTTGTGTGGTTTGTTTGAAATGTGTATAGGGATGGGATTGTATACTACGGGTATATTTATTTTTGAAATAAAGAGGTCACAATTATTTTTAGCTATTGGACGTTAAATCTAATAGATTGAAGCGTCGCAACCCTCAACCATTTTTCACATTCAATAGTCAATAATAACTGTGACCTCCTTATATCAAACGTAAATGGTCTCGTTATGTACAATTCTACAAGGGACCTTGCCCCTATTTCTATGTCATCAAGAAAATTACAATTTCACCAACAAGGGAAAAAATGGACTAAGAAAGAGAAATATATCAACCAGATCAGAAAATAAAACAAATAAAAAAAAAGGATCACGATTTACATTTGGGAACATTTTGAACTATATCCTTCTTCACAAAAAAAACTTTATCTAAATAATTGCCATTATCTATGTTGTTTTGCAAAGAACAATTGTCATTTCATTTATGGCATTATTTAAGAATCAGAAGTGCAAACCAGTGCTAGCGGTGATAAGCTTAGTATTGGCAGTAGCACTACTGGTAATGATAATACTAGCATAATAAGCATTTGTATTAGTAGTATCAATCTAGTAACCGACTCCAGTTACTTAGAAAAAAGCTTTGATGATGATGATGATCAATCTTGTGCAATCACCTTGGATTCCGTTTGGGTGTGGAATGGATAACCCGCATGAAGAGAGTTTGTAGTTGAGCTATCTCCCTTATAAACAATTGGATAAAGATGGAGCCTGAGGCTCTCTCGTTGCCTTCCAACAGTTGAATAGGGCATGTCGCTAATAAGTGACAATTCTGTGGGTGTAGTGGGTGGGGCAGGCAGCAGCTCGGAAAAGGGAAAGACTTAGGACTCGTTTATTCTGTAGAAGCACGGCTTTCACAACTGTAGCACTTCGTATGTTTTTTTATACGGAAAGTGAGAGTGGTTTTTTTTTTTAAGCCACTGCTTTCAACAGCTCCTAAAACAATGTCAATTGTTGTTTTTTGAAGCCACCACTTCCATGGTTATCCTTCTTCCACAAAACAAACGACCCTAGTTTATTGGCAGCTTTCAACTTAAGTTTTGTGAAACAGAAAAAAAATCAGTCATATTTTAGACACGAAAACTAAGGCCAAGTCGGACCGATTTTCCTAACACCACATTAATAGGTCAGAAAATCTCGATGACCTTTGTGATGGCTCCAATAAATTTCGCAGGACCTACATTGCACAGAAACCCAGAAAAATAAGGTGGAAAGAAGAAGGAAAAGTCTAAATATGGGGGCTAAGATATTGTTTCAAATTGTCATAAAGAATGCTACATATCTTCCACTTATGTTTTTGCAGAATGTTACACAAATTGGAGAAGAATATCCCCGTGATTCAATTGCAACGCTCATTGTCTAGATTGAATTTCTAATGTTCATAAAACGTGAAGGGGCCACCTTCAAAATACACAAGTTTATGAGTTCGGGAGAGAGCAATTTTATCAGTCTTGAGCAAGTTAGTTAAAATATCCGTTCTAGACCGACTCTCTCTCTCAAACATGCACACTGTTTGCTTATACCAGGTACGAGATCGAAAAGGATTACACCAAATCTCCCTCCACTCTCTCTCTCTCCACCCCTTTCTTATAAATAACCAGAAAAAAACAAGTACGCCTTTTTTCCAACAAAGAAAAAGTATACTCACTCTAACACATAAAACCACACGCATGTAACCATTGCGGCACATCCAACCAAGGTACAAGAAAATCTCCAATCCATGCAGGAGTTGGAAGCATTGAAAAGTGTAGAACATTAGGAAGCAAGTCCCTCAACGTTCTCTCTCTCTCCCCTCTTGTACTGCACTTGAAAAGTACTGGATGAGTGCAGCAATCAACTATCGCAATCTCACACACAAACATGGAAAATATGTAGCCACTAGTCATTGTCGGTACAAGTATTGAGAGATGTTAAAACAGGTCTACAAGCAGCAGCTCCTACAGTCGATGTCCCACTATAATCAACATGACTTTTACAAAGAAAACCTACCTACCAACCAACAAGAGATTAATTCAACACAATCACCTGTACATGCCTCCCAAGCATTCATAATACTTTAGGTTTGCTCTCTGGCAACTCTATCTGGTCGTGAACTTCCCCTATAACAATCTGTTCAAAAAAACCAGTCAAACTGTACCTGTTAAAGCTTTACCGTTTATATTTAGCAGATCTCCTACCAACTTCAAGCTTAGAGGTCCCCCACCAAGTTCTCGGAACTCCTGAAACCTTGCTACCCAGTAGAGACTTTGAAGAGTCTATGGGTAAAGTGATGTCAATTACCTCCATGCCCTACTAAGTGAACCACCCACAACGTGAACATGCTAATTTACAAGTCTTTGGCAGAGAGTATATCTGTTCAACCCTATCATACACTGTTAAAGAGAAGGTTCGAACACCGCATCTGCAGCAATGGAGGACAAAACTTCACTCATTGGTAAAGAAACAAAGCAAAAAATTGAAAAACACAATATTCGTGAATGATAGGTGTGTGCACAGTATTCTAGAAAGAGAGCGACGCTGTTCATATAGGAAGATCCCTACAGGAATGGACTGCCTAGACACTACAGGGAAACTTATCCAAGGAACAGTAGACAAGAAGAAACGAGAAAGAGAAACTTATCGAAGGAACAGTGGACACGAAGAAAGAGAGAGAGAGAGAGAAACTTATCCAAGGAACCAATGACAAGAAGAAACAAGAGAGGGGCCGGGAGATACTATACATACCATATTCAATCAGCCTTGAGGAGGTGAACCAGGTTCAGAGCCACATATGGAAGCTAGTGAGACAGCATCCTCTTTCGTTAGAGCCACAAAATTCAGAGGAGCAGTCGAAAGCCTTCTTGTTTCCCTGAAGTACCCATTCTGGCGTCCAGAGCTACCATTGGAACGAGGAGTGTGAAGCTCTGAATTGCCATTGCCAACAGAGAGTCGACGTGGTGTTGGAGTTGAGGCACCATTTGTTTGAAAACCATTGGACTTCTTCAAGCTACTCATCCTTCTTGGGCTTGGCTTGGACCCATACATGGTTTCCTTCACAGTAAGGAGGAGATCCTGTAACTTCTTCTGATCCTGCAAAAACAAGAACTTGAAGAAATCACTTGTGCTCTTAGGGTGAGGATTTCTATTTAGTTTTGTTGTCCAATGCATGTATTGTGATTATGAATGTATTAAGGGGTTTGTATGCTAATGTTTTGCTCAGTGGCAATTAGCTTTAGTGAAAATGATAGATGATTGCCCACAGCCAGAGAGTAAAACCAAACAGAAGCAGCCTACCAAACTGGACTGGGAATATCTTTGAAATTGGTCCCTCCAAACAGTGAAGCGGAAAAACTTCACCAACGAAGATGAGTATTTTACTGATGTTGATGATATCTCCATTAAAAGAGAAGGAATAATCGTCATCTCTAATCTAAAACTATAACTGGGCCACATTTTCGGCCACATTTTCACTCATTTTTACGTAAGGTTTGGATGTTTGCAGTATCTGTTGGCGAAAGACATTCCATGGATATTTTGTATCCTATAGGGAGCATCTACAACTTTTGTGACAGATCACACAAACACCAATAAGTCCCTCCTGAGCTGAATGTGAAATATTTCGCATCAGGAGGCGAACATTTAATAAATACAAAGGCTTATTGACAGCTAATTATTCTACTTAATGGATCATCAGACTGGATAGAAGCCAAGTATAGTCCATATTACACAAGTCACAACAACACATAAAAAAGGGAATGTCAATTTGCATAGGTATGCAATCAAAGGGCCACAACCACCACCGAGAAGAGGGAAACAAATAAATAAATAAAAGGAGAGAAAACATAATATCTAAATCAAAGGACCCCACAGATCTTCCCTAATTGGTAACGCCAATGGCCTGAAGGACCTTATTTTTGAGCCTCAAACGTCAATGACACACAATAATACAATAGAACTGAAAACTAAAGGCTCTTGTATAGAAATTCTGAATACATTAACTAATTATATTGATCGTCTCAGAACAATACATAGAATGAATGGATACATTTCAGCATCTACAAGAAGAGTTGAACTTGTTGCTAATGTCAAAGTTCAAGTTGATGGCCTTTTAAATGCTAGGATGGTTTCATCCAATGCTCAGAAAGTTAATCCAAGTTGAATTGAGTCACACAAGTCAATTCATTTTGGCACATGAATGAGTTGTGTTATGAGAAACTCAAATGGATTTGGCTTGAGTTTTTTAGGTCTCAGACAAAATAGTATGTCTGGATTTCGTGGTAGTACATGATTCCCTCTTTCGATTTGGAACTAATTTTGAAATCCTACTGTTGGATTTCATGGCAAAACCTTTTCTTTCCACATTCAGAAACTGGCATTCTTTGCCCCAAAACTCAGGAGAGTTGACTAGTTTTCGACAGTGCCAGAGGAGGGGACTAGGTTTTACACTTCAATCTTTTTCCTCAGTATAGATGGAAGTTTTCTGTGTATTCAGAGCCAGCAGTTATTTTGGACTACCATTATTTGAAATCAACAGCATCACCACAATCTGCCTCCCTCCTTCCCGTCCCCCACGACCCTCTAAAAGCAACCCCACCACCCAATTTTAATTTGTTTCACAAGAGGAGATACAGGACATCCATGATGGACAATCTCTTACTTGGGTAGGTATAACGGATAATCTCAAATCATAGAAACTAACAAGTACCTTGAATCGCTTCTTCTCCTCCTCTTTTTGTCGCCTGTTACGAATATAATCCTCCAGGTTAGAAACCAGTCTCACCTGACAAACATATAGAAGTAAAACATAAGGAAACATTAGAAAAAAAAAGAAAAAAAAGAAGGAAAAAGAGGCAAAAAAAAACTTTTGGGAATGAATTGAAAGGATAGTCTAACTCACTCCATCATACAAAAATTGCATTTTTCTTTCTTCCTCCCATGCAAATGCCTTACTCATTAGATTATCTACCATACCTGCATATAAAGCAGCCCATATAATTCTAATACTGCATTGTCATTAAACTGGAGGAATCAAAACAAACCTCATATGCAGACAAATACCTGGGATTTTGGTTATAGTGATTCGTGCCCGTTCTGCACGTTTTAGGTTCAGGTGGCTACCCCTTCCAGCAGTATACCTGTTCTCATCCTGCATTGAACATGCATATGCTCAACAGTTCTAAAACCAGAGCAATTACGTATATTTCAGGAAAGCCATCACAAGCCTGCTGTGTGTGTGTGTGTGTGTTGGGGCATATATCTGAGAAAAGCCATCACAAGCATGTCCTCTCTCTCCCTCTCTTATACACAGACATACACAAAGACAAATGCAAACTGCACACATGCATACACAGAAATTTGTTTCCTTGCTGTTGAACGAAATATAAAAAAATGCATAAGATCAACAACACTGAACTTACTTGGTTGTAATCTTCCAGCCAATTTTCCTCTTCACAAGCAGCAAGCCATTTATCTATCTTGTCCATTATCTCCTTCCTACTCATAGCATCTTCCTTTGCCTTCACTATTTGTGTCTCAATGTTGGCCAAAAGCTCACATGGATCCACAATACCTAAAGAGAAGGCAAACAACAGTCAGGCATGCTCTGAACACATGCATGGACATGGTATATAGGAAAAACTTAATACCCGAATCAATCAATGCAATGGACTTTTCAGGAGCCGTGCTCATGTCTGGTTCTATATGTGCCTTTTTGCATATCTCCTCCAACTCCGACCTTTTCTTCAGAACCAATTCTTTCATTCTGCTGGATTTCAGTTTTCCTAACCCCCCAACTTCTGCTTCAGCCTAATGCCATTAAACAGAAGTAGGTTTACAAAAACAAAAGAAAGTCACCATAAACAGTAATGCGAGACATATAAAATCAATTCAGATATAAAAAAATCCAAAGAGCGTCAAATCAACCTGCTCAATAATCTCAAGTGAAAGCATGCCAGATTCTGCAATTTTGTTTTCTGGCAATCCCACAATGGAGGTAACCTTTTCAAACTGCCTTCTTTCTTCTTCCGCTGTATCCATCAAGTTCCATAGCTCAAACAGAGAAGCCACAATGCCTTTCAACTACAAAGAATTAAAAGTAAGAGAAAATCTGTTAGTTGAATATCACAAACTAAACCAACATAACCATGGATTGAATTTGGCCTGGCTAGGAGCTTATGCGAAGTTATTGTTGTGACCCAACAAAATATGTAGGTAAAACTTTATTAGAAAAAAAATTGATGTGCTTTGCATGATAATTTTGGGTCCAAATTTGTTTCAAGGAAAAGTATATTATAACACCATGTTGGTTTCAAACAGGACTAACAGCACTCTCAATCATCAGATGTCAACAATGGATAGGTGAGGGGCATCATTTATCAGGTGAGGGGCATCATTTATCAGACTTTGAGGAAAGGAACAATCATCATCACCTGACCAATGGACAGTCAGAGGAGCTCTTAGTATCTTGTTACCAAACAAGCAGGTACTGTATTATACAGATCCCAGATCTTGTCCTTAAATAACATGTTTTCTAAAATTTCTTGTGTAGGTTAGCTGGGATAGAAAGCTGAATGTTAGTTTTTTTTTTTTTTTCTTTTGCCCTTAAAATTGCATTTTTAATGGGTCGAAATCCATCCAATAACAAAACATGAAACACGATAAAATAAACAAATAAATAAAAAATAAAAAATAAAAAGAAGAAGAAGAAAACTCAGAAAGCCAAAGTGGTATCTCAAATCCAGAATTTCGGATAGGATCCCACATAAAAGTTAGAACCATGGCAAAGTAAAAGATTTCAAGTAACTAAGATAAGCACATGGCATGCACATGGCATTTTGGATTACCTTTTGAATTCGTGTTTTCTTTTCCATTTTCAACTTCTCAATGGCTTGGGAAAGACCTTGTAAAGTGTCATTGCTGATGATCTCGGATTGTCCTGCATTTGTCTCACGCAAACTCGGGTGCACTTCACTCACTGTCTTTCCAAAGTCCAAATTAAGAACAGCACAAAGGCCATGCACCTCATTCACCGATTCTAGAACTTTGTGAAGGCGGTCAGACTGCATGAGGCACAAAGAACGTAATGCGCAACGTGACCAAAAATTCCAAAGAAAGAGGGTCCGCATTTTTATTTCTAGGAAACTTAGCATTAATTCATTAGAAATAATATCATCAAGCTGCGCCAGATGATGCAGATGACATGCAAACACTGCATGAGGCACAAAGAACGTAATGTGCAACGTGACCAAAAATTCCAAAGCAAGAGGATCTGCATCTTTATTTCTAGAAAACTTAGCACTAATTCATTAGAAATAATATCATCAAGCTGCGCCAGATGATGCAGACGACATGCAAACACTGCAAATTGATGAGAAAGAGGGGGACTAGCGACAATTGAGCGAGAGAGAGAGAGACAGAGAGAGAGAGAGAAAGAGAGAGAGAGAGATGCAGTCAAATGCAAGCATTGTGACCCAATGAGAAAGAGGAGACTAGCATAGATTGAGAGAGAGAGATAGAGAGAGAGAGAGATGCAGTCAAATGCAAACATTGTGACCCAATGAGAAAGTGGGGACTAGCATAGATTGAGAGGGAGAGATAGAGAGAGAGAGAGAGAGAGAGAGTAGCACAAATAAGAAGTTGCAAACCTTTTCTTTCTGCAGAGCACGAAGATGGGTTTGATATTCATTTAACTTTCTCAGGGACAAGTCATGTTCCTCTACATCAACCGAATTGCTTAATGTGTCATTTAGATGAGAAAATCCAGATATCTCCCTGCCGATCTTTTCAATTTGAGCTTGAACATCTACAAATTGCTTGAAACGCTCCTCTTTCTTTGCTCTCAGATCTTCCAGCAGTGGTGTAACTGATGCAAGTTGCTCTTTCAAAGATATCGGCCTTTTCTCAGGCTGCATATGCATCAGAATAAGGTACCACCAAAATGTAATACAAACTGCAAACTCAGACCAAACTAAGAAATATTTTTTCTTTTCTTGAATGATACCTAGGCAAAGACATACCACACCTAGAAAGATAGTGAGCAACATTCGAGACATCCAAAACATACATGAAATTTATCTGTATGTATATAGTGAGCAACACATTCTACCTCTCTCTGTGGACAAGCATGCACATGTATACATCCTCTAAAAGACTCAAAATAGTTAAAAATTATCTCAGTGCGAATTGTTGAACAAAGTCAAACTCATATTATGGGCTCATATTATGGATGCTTACGAACTCCAGTATAGAAAGATATAACAGAAAAAGCAAATGCAAAGAGAGATGTCATAACATTTTATACAATCACTCTGTATAAATGTGTACAGGTGGTCAAGCACATATGGACACACACAGACACACACAAAAACAAAAAGACTTGCATGGTGCAAAGTGTTTGAGTTTGACACATAGTTGTTGGGAAGGGAGCCTGCAGCCTCTAATATATGTACCTATATGTGTGTATATATGTCTGTATATGCGTGTCTGTATGTTTTATATTATTTTATTTTTGAAGTGATTTAAAAATTATATGTATAATCCACTTCTTTAGCATTATTTATTGATATGTGCAATAAGACCTCTATAGCAACAAAGTTCCATAAAATTTGAAATGTTGGGCCATGCTAAGAACATGCTAAGAACCACACTTAATTTTAACATTCAATCACCATAGTTAGTGCATATCCCTTGGGGGCACTCTTAAAAATGAGCACCCACTTAACCAAGGCAACTCGCCAATTCCCAAGTTGCCTTGCCGTTTCCAGGTGGGTCAGCCAAAATGATGAAAAAAAGTATGAAAAAGAAAAAGAAAAGGAAATAATAGCCATGGGGTTCAGGAATTCTTGAGTTCCTTCACTGAAATACTCACTATACCATTATTGCCAACCACGACCATGAAAACAGAAAAAAGACTTATAGGTGGTCTTTAGCTAGAAAATCAGCAGAAACTGAAGATCGCAGGTTCAAATAGAAAAGCTTCGAAAACTCCTATTTAAATTGAAATCCCTTCAAACCAAGATCAGGCCCCTGCTTCTGTGGGGTTGTGATCCCCTACCATAGGGACATAAATTCCTTGCAGTCAGGGATCCAGATCCTCTATAATTCTGGATTGAGATCCCTATAAGATGGGGACCGAAGTATCTTGATGGGGGTGAGCGAGCTCTGCTCGGGCTCTGACTCCAGGATTGTTGGAGCAAGACTCCATCGGGGGATAGCCACTCCCCAACCAATTTGCTTGCATCTGTGCTTTGAAACCCATTCATGCAATTCAGTGTCATGTTTCAAGTCAAGCAAGTAAAGAGCGTCTATTTTGGAGAGGTGCATCATTCCTATAATTATTGTGGTGTTCATTTAATTGTAGTTCTTGATATTATGGAACTTCACATTTTTTCCTCATGAATTTTGTGAGTCCAAATTGTTCATTCTCTCATGTCTTCATAGAGCCAATAAGATTCCCACACTTTTAGTGCGAGCGATTAAATGAGCGATTAATCCCAAGTGTGAGGTTTTGTTTCCTTGACATCCTTCCTACTTTAATGAACTTTTGTTACCCATCACCAGAAAAAAAAATTAATATGCTAACTTGTAGCCAACTGGCTTTGAGCTGCTTGCCTCAGCTGTTAGTTGAAAGAAAAGAAAAGTATTCTCTTCAAGATGTTTCTTGAGCGCTACTTCCATGCATTTCAAGCCAAAAAAACCTGATGTAACATGGAAGAAATAAGGAAAATTGTTTCATGCGGGCTGGACCTCATTTCTACATATGCAGTCCAGAAAGTGTAAAGAATCCATGTTTAAGATGATGTAAGTACATGTTCCATCTAAAAACAATCGAAACTAACGGTCCAAATGTTTTCTTACTATAATTATTAATTTTAGTTTTTAAAATTTATTTATTTTTCCAGATTCATGATCTCCATGTTAGAGAATACATATCCTTAAAAATTAATTCTTAAAATCCATCTCAAAAATAGATTTATTAAGAGGCCCGCATTTCTACATATGTGGGCTTGGCCACATAGAAACCGGGTCCAAGAAATAATGCCACATATCTAGGTTTCCTCAACAATTTGGAATATGTAAACATTTGTGTCTTCCTTGGTGGCCCATTTCTTTCCTTTTCCACAATAGATACTACTTCTATCAATCCATTTAAAACTCGGGAAAGGGGCTAGGGTCGTGGTGGTAGCACCCCACACCTTAGTTACCACGTTGTGGTTTCCATTCCCACCTCTAACACCACCCCACTAATACCTTCAAAAAACCTAACCCTTAATCTACTTGAAAAAATGGGTAGAAGGGCCTGTCTTCCCCACTGAATTACCCAAAAAAAATTCCATTTAAAATTCTGTTTGATAATATTTAAAATTTACTGCCAATAATGAAAAAAAGAAAGAATATTTTAAATTTTCTCATAGCTCAATTCAATCAATTTAACCACATAATTAAGTCCATCTTAGTTTCGCGTGCATGTGTGTTAATTAGCAACTTGCTAGCTAATTAGCCAATCCAGGATGCAGAGCCACCTACCAACTTAGGATGGCTTGAATTAGTTACTGCAAGTACCATCTTATAATTAGAGAAATTTTATCTGGACAAGAAAGTCACTAGACTTCAGCTGCATTCTTTTGTCTTCTATCACACAATCCAATTTCAAGAAGACACCCTGAAGTAGCTTTCTTCTTGGGTTTTAGTTTATCCATACAAGAGCCTCTTTTATGTTTAATAGGTACAAAGAGTAGCTCAAGATAAGGGTAAAATGCTCAATAGAAACCCCGACATCCTCCCCTTATAGCCTACAGAAAAAGAAGCCTTAACACAACTGAATGGTAATTTGGTGCAATTAGCAGCCTATTCGCCCTGGTGGTGTCCAAACAATTTCCAACAACTGAAAACAATCGTTGGCAATATGTTTAATCTGTATAAATTTTTTGTTATTAAATTTATTTTTTTACTGTTATTTTTAATTGTTAATATTTTTTATTTGTAACATATAATTTTGTGACAGTTATTTATCAACATTCTTTCGATAAGTACTGTAACATATCATTCGAAACAAGATAACAACTTTATGTTATCTGTACACAATCAAGAGAAACAATTTTTCTTAGGTTTGGCTATCGTGGAATTTGGACTCCTGCATGAAATTTTTAGAAATAATATAAGAAGCTTCTCAGGAAAGCTAATTTGATTTATCCTCGTTCTACCCAAAAATGTAGTGAAAAAGCTCATAAACAATACAAAAAATGCATAAAACGAAATCACATTGCTTAGAAATAAATATTTGCCAGCATCAATCACAAATACCTTAACCATAGCCTCTCATTTTAAATCAAAACCACAGTGGCACAAATCCACGCATTTTCTATAAGAAGGTGAAAGTGGCTAAAGTTGATGTCTCAACATTATTTTCCGCAATTGAAACAAGCGAAAGTCCCCCAAATTTGCACATAACAACTAATGTATTATCACCCAAATTATTCAAGAGAATTTCTGTATTGTAAACCCTTTAGATCACGAGAAAAAGTGGTGTATAGAAAATGAATTAAACTCACATATGCCCAATTTAGTTAGGAGAATCATGATACCATGATCAATCAGACATGAAATATTACCTGTGAATGCAAACTGAGATCCCCAATTGCAGCCACGAGTGCTGCAAGCTCGGCTTCTTTGGCAGCAAGAGATTGATGGAGGCGAGCCTTGGCATGGCTAGCTTCATCAACCTTTCGCCGATACACTTCTAAGCATTCTCTCTCTATCTCTAAAAGCATTCTGTGCTTATCTTCTTCGCACTCTCCTATTTCATCCCAAATATGCTGCTCAACAATACCCATTGGTCAAATTCTTTGATACCCAAAAACCCCAATTGTTCTTCTTAGTTTTTTTGTTACCCAGAAAACCCAAATGAATATCAAGGTATAAACAGATATATAACTAGGTTATCTCAAGTTTCAACAGCCGAATAAACCCCAACAATTTCATCCAAAAAAAATAGAAGAAGAAGATGCAACAGAACAAGCCATTTCATTCAAAAAAAAAAAAACAGAAAAAGACATTTCTTTTTTAAGTCTGGGTAGACCGGAAACTATCAAGTGCGCATTGCAGAAGGAGATAAATTACAAACCAATTACACGATATTAAACAAAAAGAAGAAAAGTGCATGCTTCAAAGTTCATAAACTGGGAAAAACAAACAACAACACTGGTTTAACAGGCAGCTGAAAGAGACCCAAATCAACACTGGTTAGCCTACACCCAAAGAAAACTATGGCCTTAAATAATCAGCCATTTTTGGTGTTGTTACAGTAGTAGCCGCAATTGCCATTTCCTTATAATAAACAGATTTATTCATCTTCAAACCCTTAAACCGAAAGGAGAAAGGGAAAAAGGGTAAAAATAGAGAAAATAACTGAAAAGAAAGGAGAGATGTTAATTCCATCTAAACCCTAACTCTAGAAACCAAAAAACTAGATCCTCCAGAAAGAAAACAAAAAAAATCAAAAAGAAAATGTAGTGTCAAAGAATTGTGAGGAAGTTTTTACAGTGAAATCCCTCACCATATTTCGTTTGCTTAAAAAACTAACAATAAACCCTTGAAAATTCGAAAGTGAAATAGACAAAAAGGGGCCAAATGCAAAGGCGAAAAGAACCTGAAGTTCCTTGAGAAGAACACCACAACCAGTGTCCACCCGGACACTCTGCGGACTCCCCAGAACCTGCATTTCTGTCTTTCTCTCTCTAACCACTCTCTGCCTCTCTCCACCCTTCACTCTAGCTCTCTCTCTCTCTCTCTCTCTCTAGCCCTTTTTCTCTAACTGTAGGGCGTTAAACACAGTGCAAGCTCCTGCACAGAAAGAAGCCAACTGGTTTCACACAACTGAAAAGCTAAGGAAGTTCAAAAAGAAGAGAGAGACAGGGGATAAAAAGTTTAGTCAGAGAAGAGAGAGAGAGGACAACAAAAAAGGTTCATTGCACAGTGGATTAATGGATATAAGCAGAGCAGAATTCATGGATTGTAAACCCGTGGGGTTCCTCGTTCCCCTATTAAATTCCATCAATGGCAACAGAATTGACTTATGCCGCACCAGATCTAGAGAGAGAGAGAGAGTGTAAGAAGATGAGAGAGGATTTTGTTTTTGCACCAGGTGAGCAGAGCGAGTTTAAGACGATGAGAGAGAGAGGAGATCGTTTTTGCGGCAGGCGAGTAGAGTAAGAAGATGAGAGAGATAGGGGATTGTTGTTAGAAAAAATTACAAAAATACCCTGCGTCAACTTTCTTTACCAACTTCTTCCTAAACAACTTTTTTTATCGTAGCTTTTATCTTAAAATTAATTTTTAAAGTAAATATCTACGGGTAAAAAAAAAAAAATTGAGAACAAAAATACCCTTATTTATACATGTAGGCACCACATTTCCGTAGATGCTAAATCACAAGAGATGGTTCGGCACATATTACTGTTCGACCGAAACCCTTACTACATTAATTGTCAGACAACAGCAACAAGATGGCGAACTGCATGTAACTTATGTCGAATCGAGTCACCATAGTGCCAAACGACAAAATCATCGAACTACAACATCAATTTGCCAGACTGCATTTACAAGCTCCAGAGTAAAGCTCATAATTGCCGGACCGCAACAACAATATGTCGGACCGTATTTACAAGTGCCAGACAAATGGCATTCAATGATCAAAAGGATAGTATTTTGGTTCAAAGAACTATAGCTTTAAAATTAGAAGATATTTGTAATAAAATTAAGTTTTGAGTAAAAGTTGCTATAAGAGGTTTGGTTAGTGCGGGGTTGTAATGACTGTTGAGGCAGGGGGTTTTTGTAAATTTCCTTGGTTTTAGGGCAGGTGAATAAATAGAGACAGGGAATATAAGAAGGTGAGAGAGAGAGAAAGAGAGAATTGTTTTTACGGAAAGGTAAGTAGAAAACGGAATATTAAACGTGATGAGGACTGCTAATTTAGATTCTAAAGGAGAGAGGAGAGAGAAATTAGAGAGAGAAAATAAAATGGACACAAATATTTAGTGAATGCCAACTTAGTCCTCTTTGTGACAAAAACATCCAATTACTTATTGAATACCAACTTAGTCCTCTTTGTGAAGTATATGACCATTATGCCCCTGGGTGCTTGTTTCTGACAGTCCTTATCGACGGTCCAGATATTCTTGGGTGCGGAATGTTCTTTGGATCAACGGCGGGAATGTAGAGGGCGAGTGCTTTGGTAATTAAAAGAAAATAGGGGATTATTTGGTCAAAGTGGAGTTTAGGTCTTTGGGAATCTGAAGTGTATCATTACCGTGATATTGGGGTAAAGTATAGTACATAGAATATCTGCCATTTTTTATCACAAAATTGCCCTTCAAGTGCTTGAAGGTCATCCTGCTGTTTTTTCATAGAAAATTTTCCTTTTTGCTTTGTAAAACAAAATATTGTGAGATTTAAATACAATAATAGACTACATTAGCTATTTAATATTGGGTGAGGTTTAGAGAGGTTTTCCTTTTATACTTCAAGGTGCACTTTTAAATTTTGTCTCGAGATATGGTTTTGATTTCAAAATTTTATGATGGTTTGAAAATTTATAGTTGACCCTTGTTATAAAATGGAAAATTCAAAAAAATGGTACAGATCGTGTAGATCTTTGAACGTTTGAAAATCTTGAAAATAGATGATCCAGATAATTTGTTATAATATGCATTTTTTAAAAAATAAACAATCTTATATAATATATATAGATATATCGAGGCCGAGATGATGGATCGGAATGTTTTCCAACTTTAGAATACTCTTTTCTACTAGATTTTTGAAATGCACATTACTTCTACATTATAAGGTTGCAGATCTTATATACATTTTTTTCTTTAAGATTTTATTCATCTCTTGATTTAATTTCAGATTTTTATTTAACATGCAGACCTCGTAAAATGTTAAATAGTTAATGAATTGGATGTATTTTGATAAACGTTCCTAATATTTATCCAAGCACATAATAGAAATATAATATATGATCAATATCACCCTAACGTGTGTAGATTCACAAGTATCATCAAAATCCAACTATGGATGGACGGTGATAGAAAGAGAGCCAAGAACCACCAATACCGACTATTGGTATGTCAATTGGGATCTAAAATGGATCCATCGACCTACTAGACCTAGCAGGGCTCCCCAACTCACTTGACTCGAACCCAACAAGGTCTACCCACGACATAACCAGGTTAGGTAGAATTAGGTCGATTCAACCCAACCCAACCCTACAGCCACCCCCAAATCCTGCTATGTCAAGGTCAATCCAAGCTAACCTCACTCGTCGATGGGCATGATAAAAAATTCGACGTGCACGAAAAAAAAAAAAAGAAAAAAAAAAATGTATGGTGAATCTAGGGGACATATGTGTCCCCTTGATCACAAAACATTAATCCCATGGTTGGATAGTTAAATTTTTTCAAAAGCTATCACCTTTGACTTTTAAAGTTATTTATGTTTCCATATTCACAATTTTTGTGGTCAAAATTATTGGTCCCTAAAAACTTGGATTGCAAATCCTTCTCTAAATTGAATTTTGGAGGGGGACGCATGTGAATAAATGAGTAAGCTCTCTCACCAAAACCGGATCCGAAAAATAAACCGTAATTGTGGATTGATTGGAGGATAGATTAGTTTGGCCCAAAGGAACCATCTAATAAAAGAGTTGGTACAAAAAAAAAAAAATGATAACATTTTTTTTAAAAAAAAACCATATTAATGTCCAAAAATAAATAAAATAGTAAGCTTATTATGTGGCTTTTTGGTGGTTTTATACCTGAGTAGGACAAAAGAGCCCATAGCTATGCATATTAATTAACTTATAACTGAAATCCATTTATTTCCATTTTATTAATAATTTTTTTTGTTGGAAGTTTGTTTGGATGAGTCTGAAGGGGCTATGGCATGCATGCATGTGTCAAGAGCATGCATGCAAGCATCCACCATGAGCATGTGTGGCTCCCACATGCATGCCACGTCGGACACAACTGATGGTTGGTGGGCCCCACCGTGGATTCTCTCCCAACCTCCAAAGGAGAAAAGAAATTTAGCTTTATTATGTAACAAAAAGATATTTAAATTTGACCACAAAAAGATATTAGAAATTTGGAACTTTTTAACTTTTTTTTCCAGCAATTATTTGGCTCAAAGATGTGACCTCGCATTCGCCTTTTTGGGAATCTTTTTCAATTGCCATTAAACAATCCAGTAATTACTATAATGAAAGAAGCTTATTTATGCCTTTAATGTGAAAAAGGACTTTTGTAAGGACAAGTATCCACATAAATAATGAAAATTTTACTTATTAACGAATCATTTGAGAGTGATGTTGAAAAAAGGAAGGGCGAAAAACATATCAATTCTCAATAGTCTCAAACACGAAAGGAAAGGCTCAATTTAGAGCATGTGAATTATAGGTAAAGATATTATCTCTCTCTCTCTATATTTTATCTCTCTATGTTTTTCTCTTACACTTGCTCAGAGTGTATAATGGAAAAAGTTTGCACAAATTGGGGACTTATAGAAGCAAAGGCTGCATAATAAAAAGAATAGGGGAAAGAGCCCGACTTAGTTGGTTAGCGCTTGACGATCTGCAACGCTACAGGCTCAATTCCTACCAAAGGAAGAGTATGGGCCCCCTCCCCACGAAATCAGCCAAAAAAATAAAAAAATTATATAATTTAGAATAATAATTTTAATTGAATAGTATAGATTTAATATTATTTAAATGAAGATAAAAGTTTGTATAGAATTGAGGCTATAAACAATTAAATTTGATCCTACTTCAAGGAGAGGATGTTTTGATGCCCAAATATCTTCAAATTATCTCGACATCCAGATGTATGGACATGAGAAAAAAAATAAATTTCAAGTTTTGAAAATAGTGAATTTTGTAACGTATTTTTGGACTGTCAATTTTCAAGTTTTTATAGATATGTCGATCTACACTATTTTTTGAGCTTTAAACTTTATAAATACATATAAAACTATATGTTAAGGTTATCACAAAGATTTTCAATATTGAAACCACATTTCTCGATACTATTTGAAGATAGGCTCTAATTTGATTGGTTAGAGCCTAGGTGCTATACAAACCACACCCTTAAAAGAAACGTTTGATCTATAGAGCAGTGCAACCTTACTTGTACAAAGTGTTTTAAAACCTAAAATGAGTTGTCGAATCAGCTGGACTGATTTAGATCGACAATACATGCCAAACCAGGATTGTTGCATTGTGTGGGAATAATTTCCAAAAATATAAATATTTAATTTAATTAATAAATTAAAAATTAATAAAAATAAAATAAGCGGGAACCAAATGATTCACACAATCTCCATCACTCGGTTCCTTGATAGATTTGCCCATTTTTCTAACGAAACTAGGTGAATACCTGTAAAATGGATTGAATCCTGGTTTCGTAAATGGACCACGTCAATCCCCAACAATTACCGATCTCATTAGTGGTTGCCAATCTAAATCACGGTTTTTGAGATACTATTGTTACTAGTAAGACGGTGGCCTTCTATAAAAACCAGCACCCCTGTAAACTATACACTATTAATTGGAAAAACTATAGAGCATGATAATGGTATGAAGCACGAATTGTGTTTTGTGATGTAAGCCTTTTCACAGGCTCAACCACATAAGGGGTGCAGACTACTAAGGTTGGGTCGACCAAGACCTGTCCTGGACCATTTTAGTTCAAAGTTCATGGCACTTGGGCCAGGTTGGGTCTAGGACAGAATATAAAGACTAAATTATATATGGGATTGTCTATAAAGAGGTAATTTATTTTTTGTATATGTAGGTCACTATCGTTCGTTCTTGTACCTTAAATTTTCAAATGGGTGATCGCAAGAGTATCATTGGATAGATACAAAGTTCCAAAAAAACATTTCAGACTTCATGTCCAATTTTACATTTAATGAGTGAGAATGATTGTGGCTTCCATATATAAAAAAAATACATGGCCTTTTTGTAAACAATCCCACTATATATATATATATATATATATATGATAAAAGTTTATATAAGAATCCATTTATAAGATCTATTATGTTTTAAAGTAGGAAAACCTCTTTTCTATTTTGCACAAATGTTCCCTTTTTTTGTTATTTTCTTATCCAAAATTACCATTACTTTATCTATTAGATGTC